GGGAGGGGAGGGGAAAGAAGAATTAAACATAATTTTTCCATTCAATGTACATGATTGTGCAGAGGAATCCAGATTTTAGGAACAATCTCGAGGAACTGAAATTGGTTTGAAAAATTGAGAGGTTTGAAAAGTCAAGGGTAAATTTTTCTTGATAACTCCTTAGCCAAAGGAGCCAAAAATTGCTTCAAATAATCAGGGGTTTGAAGGTTTCAACAACAGGGATTCCACTGAACACTTGTAATTTTTTAATCACTCCAGTACTTCATCAAAGAATGACATAAAACTGACTCCTCACCACTCCATTAACAGAGAGCAACTGATCCCCACGTTTCAAGCCACCATTCCTAAAAAAATAAAACATTGTTGGAAACGTGAAAATAAAGTAGAGATCAGGGTAAGAAAAAAACCCAGGTCCGATTGCCCAGGGCAAGTAAATTTTGCTCTTGGGCAAGTGAAAATGGAAGTTTGGTGGTCTGGTGGGCAAGTGAAATTGGCCTCAGTAGTCTCATTAGAGATAATTTCCAATCAAAAACAATTTCAAAACTTGAGACTGCAAGATGAGCAAAACAATGAGTTGAAAGCAATAGATTAATTTAAAATCCAAGCATATGTGATTATAGACAGTACCTAGTAAATGATGTAGTTGATAAGGCATGAACACTGTATACATGTCCATTGGGCAAGTAATTTATTTTAGTGAGGGTGACTGAAAACTGAAATATACTGGTCTACTGGGCAACTGGATTTCAAATTTTTTTTCCTGCCCTGGAGATATCAACAAGTTCTGTAAAAACTTGTTTCCAGCAGTTATCATAAAAGAAACAATCAGCCTTTGTTGAGATTTCAACTCAGCCAATGAGCAATGAAACCACTTCAAGGTTGTCAATTGCTGGCCTAGTATCATTTATATCAGGTCCCAAGAAATAATATAGCATGAATGCAAGATAATGCATGTAATGGAACATCACACATGCAGTCTAAATGTAAAGGTAAAGAAGAAAATCACTATAAGCACAGAACCATAATACTACCTCCACTTTATTCAAAACAGAAGTGCCCTGATGTTGAACTTTATTACCATGTTGATAATGTGTAGCTGAGGGAAACAGTCCTATTCTATTAATTGTGGATACCTACACTGTAAATGTAAGGTCTGTGAGTGCACGTTTAATTTCTAGTTTTTTTTGTATATTAAACCCATTATTACACCCCATATTTCTGCAATGACTGCCTCCACTAACTGAACTGCACTTTGGATGTTGTGAGACACGCTTGCCTAATAATGTCATGAGAAAGAATATTATTTATCACCTGTCTGCCACACCACCAGGGATGATACGAGAAATGTAAATAGGAGAGTTCTGCTCTCTGCCGCCCATCACATTAAATCCAAGACCTTCTTCATTCTGAAATTTAAAGTGCAACATCCTCAAGTAGTACATTATCTAATCAATCTACTGACAGTTGATGCTTATTCTAGACTTGGTTTTTTTGGGCGAGCTGATTTAAGTAGCCTTATGGTTATGGCATAGGAAAAAGTAGTACTGGTACTTGTGATTAAGGCCATCTGATGAAGTATTCTGGTCCTGCTTGATACAGTTTGAGTACAATCATTCACAGTAAAGGAAGAGTGAGAAATTCAGGCTCTTCCATAAGCAACAAGGATTTGCGACAATTTTGACCTTAAAAAACAATTTTTTCTTCCTACCAACAACCCTGCAGCAGTCTGTTGATTACAAGATAATGTTCCTTGACAAGTTTTGGTTGACAGAAAGTTGTTTATTACTCACCTTAGGAAGTTCAACTACACGAGGGTGAGCGTGACCTTCACTTGCTGCAAATGCTGCGATTGTAGCCTGAAAGTGGACACACAGCAATATGTTGTAAGTGCTACTATCACATCCACTTTGAAAATACACACAACATATTTATCATATAATATGACTACTTGTATGTAAGACTGTAAATCCTGCAATTTTACATCAAATGTCAACCTACAGATGACTGTGTAATATAAACAAACTGGTCAATATAAATTTAATATTCTATCTTTTGGTCTTGTGGCTTTAAGGGTTCTGTATTTACCTTGGCTGTAGCTTTTGCTCTGACTTCAGGGTTGCCTTGAATGTCAACTGTCTCATACACATGTTCATAAACCTAAAAACAACATGAATAATGGATTTGGAGTAAAATACAAAAGAGTATTGCAAAATACAAGTTGTATTTCATACTGTAACTACTCACATGGTACATGTATCTTGAAATTTTACTACCATCAAAACGGCATACACATGGATGAATGTTAAGCTAAACTAATGGGATGGATTATCTATTTCAAGCTATACTAATTATATTATTTTCATCTAGTCCAGACAAGTACTCTTGTACATATACCTCACGGATGGCATTACAGAATTCACTCTGAAGCACTTTCTGCAAAGCCTGAAGTTTCTTTGGAGGAATATCTCCACCTGCAACACAAAGATTAATAAATTTTCACCCACATCCACAGAGTTAAATTTGAGAACAAAGTATATTTAGCACAATATACAATAATAAATATTGCATACTATTAGGTACTGCCAGCATAAAAAGAGCAAAAATATGCAAAAATTATCAACTCACTGCTTTGCAGTTTCTCCATCAGCTCAATTGCACGATTGACATCTAGAAGTAAAGAAAAAGTTGATACCAGTCAGAGGACTGTCATTAAGGGCTGTAACTTGTAAAACCCTTTCACGGTTAACTGTGCTTGATTTTCTCTTAATGCTACAGGTGAAATTGCCTGTTGTTGATAGAAATCACCCACAAAGTAAGAACACTTAAAACTTCATGACAGCCCTGAGTGAAACTCAGTCATAGTCTACAGGCACATATTTTCTTATTATTGACATTAGTTCTAGGAACATGGTTATGTTGTAAGACAATACCCCTCTTAACAATTTTCTTTTAAAATTTTAATTATGCATACTGCATTGTTAAAAAAAAAACAAAAAAAAAACCCCAACCTATCCTGCAGAACTGTTTTTCAGTTGAAACCCTCCACACCCCCATCCCATTTCACTTCCCACCTTCTGGTTATGAACAAGTACTTTCCTCTTTGGTCAAGGATTTTTTTTATGATAAGAGTCAAAGTTCAGTTTACCAGAAAGAGATTTTAACAGATTCTTATCAGTGGGATGGAGTTTTGTGATTTTACAGATCCAAAAACACATGAAAAGACGGACTAAATTTCGGATCTACAGCACCTCTTTTGTTTTGACGAATGTTAATTTATTTTGCACAACAAATGCTCCCATAAAACACGAATCAACTGTATTCGCTGACACAAGTGAACTCGAGCATCAGCCAAAACAATGGGGAACATCTCACAGCTTAGAAGCTATTAAACGTATAGTGAGACGTGGAAAAAATACTGAAGGTTACAGAATATGAATAAACAGAGCTTGCGAGAATATACGAGGAAAACTCGATAATGTTAAAATGAAAACACGGCTTGCTTGCAAGTGGAGAGTCCCATGCAAATCATTGGATTGTGTCATATGATTGCCCTCGATCTCATTATATGTACTAACAAACGTCTGGCACGGACTTCGTTCATAGCAGTATTTTATCTGCGATGAACAATGTCTTACATAGCCGCGTAAATAACAGAAATATCTACCAACCTCGAGCAAGAGTAAGCGGTTCGTGGGGGCCAGCCATCTTGGACGCGTTCCTCGCCTCGCGATCACGTGACAATAAAAAAAACAGAAAAAGTAAGTTTCAGTCTTTCTCGGTCACGTTACTTGCCGACCAAGGTAAAGCAAAAAGAGACAAAAGAGGTTCTGCTCGCAGGGTTACCATGGCACTACCACTTCCCTCGATCATCTTTTTGTTTTCGTTGATTATAGTAACCATAAACACCCTAAATGCCTACGAAGAGAATATTACCATGGACCTTGCCTCAGTCAATTTTTTTTTCTGGCCCTGCAAAGACAACGATTCTTCTTTGGCTTCTTGTGAAGCCAAAAGTTAAAATTGAGTTTATTTTAAGACCTTTTGATCGAGGAACATAAGCTGTTCGTGTTCTTTAACATTTCTCGTGGCATTTTAAACAATAGCTTGATTTTTAAATAGTTATTATCTGATTTATTTCAGTCTAGTTAAAGGATCGCAGGCTAGAATATCGGCAAAAAACTGCACTTTTAGTGCCGGCCCGGTGCCATATGTGGGTTGAATTTGTTGTTGGTTCTCGCCTTGCTCCGAGGGATTTTCTCCTGGTTCTACGGTTTTCCTCTCTCCAAAAAAAAAAACACATCTCCTAATTTCAGTTCGACCAGGATAGGGGACCTGCATGAAAACCAGCTAAGGCTGACGTGACTTCCTCTCGTAATATTGTAATTTATTTTATTAAAGAGGAAATCTGGATTTGAGTGTTAAACAGAAATTGGGACACGTACACGGGTTATTGTACATAAACTGTGCTCCATTTCCATGTATTTATCGTGACCTCTTTCTGCTCTTTGCATGTTATCAAACAGCAATTTACAAGCTGGAAATATGACAGTAAATCCAATACTTCTATGAAAATCCGATGTCAACCACAAATTTCTGAAAAAATTGCGTTTTTGAAATGATGCTAAGGCTTCAGACACCTGGTAATGGTATTGAATATTACTCTGATTTATTTTTGCTTATGAATGGTCAGAAAACGTGCTTCAGCCGCCAAATAAATCTTTAAATGATATAATGAGCTGAACAGACGATAAGGACACTTTATTCGCGCACTTAGTGCTCAAATGCAACTCATTGAAAAAGGAGGCGAAAAAGGCGGAAACTGGAGGTTTCTATTTTGGTTCATCAGTAGATGAGCCTAGCTATGGCAAAACCAGAGGTCGTGGGGGTCATTAAAATTTAAGTGAAGTTTACTTAGCGGATCCCTTCTGTTTCTTAAAGCGTAAAATCAGAAACTATTTCCTCAATTAGCACTGAGTTAACTTTACTGGCAAATCATGGGAAATTCACAGTTTCAGTTTCAGTTTTAGTTTTATTATCGCACACTATTTACAGAAAAACAACTTTACGTGAGATGGTTTACAATGATATAGGAAAAATTAATACAGATAGAAATTAACTACAAGAAATAATATTTAATTGTGTACAGTGACCAAAGTAGCCAATGAGCTTTCGAGTTGGTCACTGTCATGTAGATGTAAGTTGACATTGGCCGCATGCTAAGTTAATTCAACATTAAAGACGATATTACTATCATAAAAGAAGAAAGACATATATAAATATGACAACACAGATGTTGTTTCTGGACCAACTGATGCCAAGTATTTTGAAATGTATGATGATGCAGTCACTGTTGTGTTTGTTTAAGCGGTTAAAAAATTAAAATCGAGTGAAATATTGCTGCTTTTTCCTTTCGCAGACTCCCCTCTGAAAGCAAGTTCCTCTTACTCTTCTGTTCAAATGAAACGATGGAACTCTCAATTCCAGTAGTATTATTCCTTGACAGATTTTAGGGCTTTTTGTGTGGACACTCGATACCTTTGTCCAGATTTATATTGTATCTTACCACTGTAAAGTAAATCCGGTTTATTAATTGACAGTTCTACAATTTCATAAAAGATCGAGCGTGAGAATTAAACATATTTGAAATTTAATTTTTTTTAATGTTTTTTTTCGTCAACGCTACGTTCATAAATTGACTTTTGCTCAGTATTTAACGTGGAAAACGAGTCGATAAAAGTCGGCATCACAGGGTTAAACCCAGAAAGCCGGAATTTTCCAGTCACGCAGCAAGTATGGCCGCCTTACCACCACGAAGTGTTGGACTTGTTGTGGTGGAATCATCGACTTCTGCAATTTTAGTTCTACTGGGTATCCTCGGCAATTTGCTACTTCTCGTTTCGTTGTACAGGAAACCTCGTTTAAAAAGTTCAACTGGCATTTTGATCGCAGCTTTGGCGATGACTGATCTACTCAACGCCTGCGTTCCCGGAGCCCTATTCTGGTCCTCTCTTACGAAAGGAAAGATGTCTTTTAGCAATTTTGGTTGCCAGATAAGTGGCTTCTTCATGCACTTTTTGACTTATGCATCTACGGCGACTATGGCTCTAACAGCAATCAATCGATATGTTTGTATTTTGAAGCCCAACGTGTCTAAAAAAGCTTTCAGCTATAACCGATCGATGCTCTACATAGGTTTCTTGTGGGCATTTGTAGCAGTGATTGTCTTTCTCCCTATAGTGGCTGGTTCCTCCACGTTTGCTTTCAACCCCGTCATGGCCGCGTGTGTGATGAAATTCACCAACACAAGTGCAGAAATCGGCTACACGTTCTTCATCGTGGCTTTTTTTGTGGTTTGCTGCTTGATAATCATATCAGTGTGCTACTTTCGCGTTTCCCGATTCATCCGCCATCACAACGAGAACACCATGTCGCAGCTGTCGATGCAAGAGATCAACTTGACCAAGGCGTTGTTCGTTCTCGTGTTTACGTTTGCGGCGTTATGGATACCGGCTTTCTTAATGATTGTCCTAAACCGTCTGGTGCTGAAGGCCAAACTTCCCCGTCAGTTCGTTCTATTCGTGCCTTATCTCATTTATTTGAGCAGCGCTTTGAATCCGTGGATATACGGTGTCATGTGTCCAGTTGTTCGCAACAAGATGAAGAAGACTCTTTTTGCATGGAAGGGGCGTGGCTCAACTGTCTCTGTCGGACCTGAAATAATTGTCGTTAGCACCTTAGGACCACCCCGACGCACAAGTTCCATCAGTATCATTACCCACGTCAGTGATTTGGCAAACGTGAGTTCATAACAAATCTACCGGGAGCGTTAGCTGAAGAAATACTCTGATTATGCACCATGGAGACGGCGGCTAGGAACAATTTGCAAGTAATGTATCATTGAAAACTATCCTGGCTCAGCATTTTTAAGTTAACACTCTTTATTGAGCGGTTTTCTTTGGTTTTTAGATTGACTGGGTGGTCTGGACTCAGTTTAATGTAATCTGGTGTATGCCGGTCATGTACGGAAATACAATAACATTGCTCTGAATAAATGTTAAGTAAGTAAGTGGGTGGGTCAGTCAGTCACTTAGGTAGTCAATCAGTAAGTCAGTAATGAATGGTTGAACGACTAGACAGAAAGAAAGAAAGAGAGAGAGATAAAGAGAAAAAAAGAGGGAAAGAAAGAAAGAATGAATCAATGGATGGATGGATGGATGGCTGGCTGGCTGGCTGGCTGACTGACTGACTGACTGACTGGATGAATGAAAGGAAAAAAAAAATTTTGTAAGCAACGCATACTAAGAGTCAAGTTAAAAAGTGTAGATAATATGATAACAAATAAATAAAATGTATTCCACGAGTAAGAGTAACTCTTTTCTGTAACAAGGCATTGTTCTCAGAGACAATTTTGCAAAACAAGTAAAGTAGTAACCAAGACAAGAGCGGAATGCCGTTATAAGGTCAAAAACGCGGTGTATTGGAGTCCCAACCTCGTTTCCATGGCTTTTTCCCTTTCCCATTGGGAATGAGGTTGCTGGAATCCAGTCAACTCTCCCCAGTCTGCGCGTGAAATCAACAGCTTTGCGCCTCACGCTCACTTCCATGTGTAACTCTGCGAGAAAACTGGGGAAGAAGCATTTGACCCTGTTTTATTTTGCTCTTTTCATGATTAAAACATTATCAGACTAGTATCATAAAACAGTTACTGCTTTCACAGCAGCCGCCCTCGTTCACGCCCTTCCCTCTCCTGACTGAGAAGCGTATAAGCATGGTGATCAATAGGCCATTTCCGAACGAGTTGCCGTTGCCTCTGTTTCACAACGAGTCTTGGTGCACAACCTTTTATATGGAAATGAGTTTTTCTCGCGCGTTCATTGCCTTGCAAATCAAACTAATTTCCATATGAAAGGCTGCACCAGAGGGAAAAAGCAGATCGGAAATGGCTTATTCTTTGACAACACATATAGTCTTGAATTTTATTTCATACAAATTGTGTCTTTGATTGTTAACTGACTATATGTACTAACAATAGTCTAGCATAGACTTTGTTAAGAGCAGGATTTTATCTGCAATGAACAACGTCTTACAAAGCCGACTAAAGAAAAGAAATAGCTATCTCGAGCAAGAGTTCAAAGAGTAAGTGGTTTGTGGCCAGCCATCTTGGACGCGTTCCTCGCCACGCGATCAGGCGACAATTGAAAAAGAGCTTCAAAGACAGGAATTCTTCTTTGGCTCTTTGTGAAGTCAACAGTTACAATATTGTTTACCTTGTGATCTTCTGATTGCGGACCATAGGCTGTTTGTTCATGTTCTTTTACATTTATTTCTCAATATTTTTTCTCATTAGTAATTAATAGTTTTGTTTTCGAAATAGTCATTATGTGATTTAATTCAGTCTAGTTAAAGGATAGCAGGCTACAATTAATATCAACAAAAAAAAACTGCACTCTTAGTTGAAAATAAAGATATGCATCTGATGGTGTCAAGCAAACGCGAGAGATGTCACTTAGTGGATCCCTTTTCTTTTGTAAAGCGTAAAATCAGGAACCATTTCATCAATTACATCATAACTTTAATGGCAATTCATGGGAAACTCACAGATGTTATCTCTGGAGCAACTGATGTATGTTTGTTAGTAAATCTGTAATGATTATGATGCGATCACTTTAGTGACTACTCATTTCAATTTGTTAAGTTTAGAAATAAAAAACGAATGAAATAAAACTGATTTTCTCGTTTCTGAATCTACTCAAGCAAGTCCCTCTTACTCATTTGTTCAAATGAAACACGATGGGTTTCTTAATTTGAGTAAGACTATTCCATGAGAGGTCCAAGGGCTTGTTTGTACACTCGCTGAATTTGTCGAGGTCTTTATTATGTCTTATAATTACTGCTGTGAAGTAAATCCAGTTTGCTAATTGCTGCAATTTCGTCAAAACAGAGACCCTGAGAATTAAACATATTTGAAATCTATTTTTTTTTTTCATATACTATGCTTCTCTTGTTTTCGCCTACGCTCCATTCTGAATTGATTCTGCTATGACGCAGAAAACGAGTGGATAAAAGTCGATATCACAAGTAAACCCAGAAAGTCAGTATTTCCCAGTCACGCAGCAAGTATGGTCGCCTTACCACCACGTAGTGTTGGACTTGTTGTAGTCGAATCATCGACATCTGCACTTCTAGTACTATCGGCTATCCTCGGCAATTCACTGCTTCTCGTTTCTTTGTACAGAAAGCCTCGTTTGAAGAGTTCAACTGGCATTTTGATCGCAGCTTTGGCGATGACTGATCTACTCAACGCTTTCATTCCCGGAGCCCTATTCTGGTCCTCTCTTACGAAAGGAAAGATGTCTCTTAATAATTTTAGTTGCCAGATTAGTGGCTTCTTCATGCACTTTTTGACTTATGCATCCATGACGACTATGGCTCTAACGGCCATCAATCGATACGTTTGTGTTTTGAAGCCCAACGTGTCTAAAAAAGCTTTCAGCTATCACCGATCGATGCTGTATATTGCTTGCCTGTGGGTATTTGTAGCAGTGGTTGTCTTTCTTCCTATAGTGTCTGGTTCCTCCACATTTGCTTCCAANCAATTTACAAGCTGGAAATATGACAGTAAATCCAATACTTCTATGAAAATCCGATGTCAACCACAAATTTCTGAAAAAATTGCGTTTTTGAAATGATGCTAAGGCTTCAGACACCTGGTAATGGTATTGAATATTACTCTGATTTATTTTTGCTTATGAATGGTCAGAAAACGTGCTTCAGCCGCCAAATAAATCTTTAAATGATATAATGAGCTGAACAGACGATAAGGACACTTTATTCGCGCACTTAGTGCTCAAATGCAACTCATTGAAAAAGGAGGCGAAAAAGGCGGAAACTGGAGGTTTCTATTTTGGTTCATCAGTAGATGAGCCTAGCTATGGCAAAACCAGAGGTCGTGGGGGTCATTAAAATTTAAGTGAAGTTTACTTAGCGGATCCCTTCTGTTTCTTAAAGCGTAAAATCAGAAACTATTTCCTCAATTAGCACTGAGTTAACTTTACTGGCAAATCATGGGAAATTCACAGTTTCAGTTTCAGTTTTAGTTTTATTATCGCACACTATTTACAGAAAAACAACTTTACGTGAGATGGTTTACAATGATATAGGAAAAATTAATACAGATAGAAATTAACTACAAGAAATAATATTTAATTGTGTACAGTGACCAAAGTAGCCAATGAGCTTTCGAGTTGGTCACTGTCATGTAGATGTAAGTTGACATTGGCCGCATGCTAAGTTAATTCAACATTAAAGACGATATTACTATCATAAAAGAAGAAAGACATATATAAATATGACAACACAGATGTTGTTTCTGGACCAACTGATGCCAAGTATTTTGAAATGTATGATGATGCAGTCACTGTTGTGTTTGTTTAAGCGGTTAAAAAATTAAAATCGAGTGAAATATTGCTGCTTTTTCCTTTCGCAGACTCCCCTCTGAAAGCAAGTTCCTCTTACTCTTCTGTTCAAATGAAACGATGGAACTCTCAATTCCAGTAGTATTATTCCTTGACAGATTTTAGGGCTTTTTGTGTGGACACTCGATACCTTTGTCCAGATTTATATTGTATCTTACCACTGTAAAGTAAATCCGGTTTATTAATTGACAGTTCTACAATTTCATAAAAGATCGAGCGTGAGAATTAAACATATTTGAAATTTAATTTTTTTTAATGTTTTTTTTCGTCAACGCTACGTTCATAAATTGACTTTTGCTCAGTATTTAACGTGGAAAACGAGTCGATAAAAGTCGGCATCACAGGGTTAAACCCAGAAAGCCGGAATTTTCCAGTCACGCAGCAAGTATGGCCGCCTTACCACCACGAAGTGTTGGACTTGTTGTGGTGGAATCATCGACTTCTGCAATTTTAGTTCTACTGGGTATCCTCGGCAATTTGCTACTTCTCGTTTCGTTGTACAGGAAACCTCGTTTAAAAAGTTCAACTGGCATTTTGATCGCAGCTTTGGCGATGACTGATCTACTCAACGCCTGCGTTCCCGGAGCCCTATTCTGGTCCTCTCTTACGAAAGGAAAGATGTCTTTTAGCAATTTTGGTTGCCAGATAAGTGGCTTCTTCATGCACTTTTTGACTTATGCATCTACGGCGACTATGGCTCTAACAGCAATCAATCGATATGTTTGTATTTTGAAGCCCAACGTGTCTAAAAAAGCTTTCAGCTATAACCGATCGATGCTCTACATAGGTTTCTTGTGGGCATTTGTAGCAGTGATTGTCTTTCTCCCTATAGTGGCTGGTTCCTCCACGTTTGCTTTCAACCCCGTCATGGCCGCGTGTGTGATGAAATTCACCAACACAAGTGCAGAAATCGGCTACACGTTCTTCATCGTGGCTTTTTTTGTGGTTTGCTGCTTGATAATCATATCAGTGTGCTACTTTCGCGTTTCCCGATTCATCCGCCATCACAACGAGAACACCATGTCGCAGCTGTCGATGCAAGAGATCAACTTGACCAAGGCGTTGTTCGTTCTCGTGTTTACGTTTGCGGCGTTATGGATACCGGCTTTCTTAATGATTGTCCTAAACCGTCTGGTGCTGAAGGCCAAACTTCCCCGTCAGTTCGTTCTATTCGTGCCTTATCTCATTTATTTGAGCAGCGCTTTGAATCCGTGGATATACGGTGTCATGTGTCCAGTTGTTCGCAACAAGATGAAGAAGACTCTTTTTGCATGGAAGGGGCGTGGCTCAACTGTCTCTGTCGGACCTGAAATAATTGTCGTTAGCACCTTAGGACCACCCCGACGCACAAGTTCCATCAGTATCATTACCCACGTCAGTGATTTGGCAAACGTGAGTTCATAACAAATCTACCGGGAGCGTTAGCTGAAGAAATACTCTGATTATGCACCATGGAGACGGCGGCTAGGAACAATTTGCAAGTAATGTATCATTGAAAACTATCCTGGCTCAGCATTTTTAAGTTAACACTCTTTATTGAGCGGTTTTGTTTGGTTTTTAGATTGACTGGGTGGTCTGGACTCAGTTTAATGTAATCTGGTGTATGCCGGTCATGTACGGAAATACAATAACATTGCTCTGAATAAATGTTAAGTAAGTAAGTGGGTGGGTCAGTCAGTCACTTAGGTAGTCAATCAGTAAGTCAGTAATGAATGGTTGAACGACTAGACAGAAAGAAAGAAAGAGAGAGAGATAAAGAGAAAAAAAGAGGGAAAGAAAGAAAGAATGAATCAATGGATGGATGGATGGATGGCTGGCTGGCTGGCTGGCTGACTGACTGACTGACTGACTGGATGAATGAAAGGAAAAAAAAAATTTTGTAAGCAACGCATACTAAGAGTCAAGTTAAAAAGTGTAGATAATATGATAACAAATAAATAAAATGTATTCCACGAGTAAGAGTAACTCTTTTCTGTAACAAGGCATTGTTCTCAGAGACAATTTTGCAAAACAAGTAAAGTAGTAACCAAGACAAGAGCGGAATGCCGTTATAAGGTCAAAAACGCGGTGTATTGGAGTCCCAACCTCGTTTCCATGGCTTTTTCCCTTTCCCATTGGGAATGAGGTTGCTGGAATCCAGTCAACTCTCCCCAGTCTGCGCGTGAAATCAACAGCTTTGCGCCTCACGCTCACTTCCATGTGTAACTCTGCGAGAAAACTGGGGAAGAAGCATTTGACCCTGTTTTATTTTGCTCTTTTCATGATTAAAACATTATCAGACTAGTATCATAAAACAGTTACTGCTTTCACAGCAGCCGCCCTCGTTCACGCCCTTCCCTCTCCTGACTGAGAAGCGTATAAGCATGGTGATCAATAGGCCATTTCCGAACGAGTTGCCGTTGCCTCTGTTTCACAACGAGTCTTGGTGCACAACCTTTTATATGGAAATGAGTTTTTCTCGCGCGTTCATTGCCTTGCAAATCAAACTAATTTCCATATGAAAGGCTGCACCAGAGGGAAAAAGCAGATCGGAAATGGCTTATTCTTTGACAACACATATAGTCTTGAATTTTATTTCATACAAATTGTGTCTTTGATTGTTAACTGACTATATGTACTAACAATAGTCTAGCATAGACTTTGTTAAGAGCAGGATTTTATCTGCAATGAACAACGTCTTACAAAGCCGACTAAAGAAAAGAAATAGCTATCTCGAGCAAGAGTTCAAAGAGTAAGTGGTTTGTGGCCAGCCATCTTGGACGCGTTCCTCGCCACGCGATCAGGCGACAATTGAAAAAGAGCTGAATATTTCAAAGACAGGAATTCTTCTTTGGCTCTTTGTGAAGTCAACAGTTACAATATTGTTTACCTTGTGATCTTCTGATTGCGGACCATAGGCTGTTTGTTCATGTTCTTTTACATTTATTTCTCAATATTTTTTCTCATTAGTAATTAATAGTTTTGTTTTCGAAATAGTCATTATGTGATTTAATTCAGTCTAGTTAAAGGATAGCAGGCTACAATTAATATCAACAAAAAAAAACTGCACTCTTAGTTGAAAATAAAGATATGCATCTGATGGTGTCAAGCAAACGCGAGAGATGTCACTTAGTGGATCCCTTTTCTTTTGTAAAGCGTAAAATCAGGAACCATTTCATCAATTACATCATAACTTTAATGGCAATTCATGGGAAACTCACAGATGTTATCTCTGGAGCAACTGATGTATGTTTGTTAGTAAATCTGTAATGATTATGATGCGATCACTTTAGTGACTACTCATTTCAATTTGTTAAGTTTAGAAATAAAAAACGAATGAAATAAAACTGATTTTCTCGTTTCTGAATCTACTCAAGCAAGTCCCTCTTACTCATTTGTTCAAATGAAACACGATGGGTTTCTTAATTTGAGTAAGACTATTCCATGAGAGGTCCAAGGGCTTGTTTGTACACTCGCTGAATTTGTCGAGGTCTTTATTATGTCTTATAATTACTGCTGTGAAGTAAATCCAGTTTGCTAATTGCTGCAATTTCGTCAAAACAGAGACCCTGAGAATTAAACATATTTGAAATCTATTTTTTTTTTTCATATACTATGCTTCTCTTGTTTTCGCCTACGCTCCATTCTGAATTGATTCTGCTATGACGCAGAAAACGAGTAGATAAAAGTCGATATCACAAGTAAACCCAGAAAGTCAGTATTTCCCAGTCACGCAGCAAGTATGGTCGCCTTACCACCACGTAGTGTTGGACTTGTTGTAGTCGAATCATCGACATCTGCACTTCTAGTACTATCGGCTATCCTCGGCAATTCACTGCTTCTCGTTTCTTTGTACAGAAAGCCTCGTTTGAAGAGTTCAACTGGCATTTTGATCGCAGCTTTGGCGATGACTGATCTACTCAACGCTTTCATTCCCGGAGCCCTATTCTGGTCCTCTCTTACGAAAGGAAAGATGTCTCTTAATAATTTTAGTTGCCAGATTAGTGGCTTCTTCATGCACTTTTTGACTTATGCATCCATGACGACTATGGCTCTAACGGCCATCAATCGATACGTTTGTGTTTTGAAGCCCAACGTGTCTAAAAAAGCTTTCAGCTATCACCGATCGATGCTGTATATTGCTTGCCTGTGGGTATTTGTAGCAGTGGTTGTCTTTCTTCCTATAGTGTCTGGTTCCTCCACATTTGCTTCCAACCCCGTCATGGCCGCGTGTGCAATGAAATTTACCACAAGAAACGCAGAGATTGGCTACACGTTCTTCATCGTGGCTTTTTTTGTGGTTTGCTGCTTGATAATCATATCGGTGTGCTACTTTCGCGTTTCCCGATTCATCCGCCATCACAACATCAACACCACCTCGCAGCTGTCGATGCAAGAGATCAACTTGACCAAGGCGTTGTTCGTTCTCGTGTTTACATTTGCGGCGTTATGGATACCTGCTTTCTTGATGGTTGTCCTGAGCCGTCTGGTGCTGAAGGCGAAACTTCCCCGTCAGTTCGTTCTGGTCGTGCCTTATGTCATACACTTGAGCAGCGCTTTAAATCCGTGGATATACGGTGTCATGTGTCCAGTTGTTCGTAACAAGATGAAGAAGACTCTTTTTGTATGGAAGGGGCGTGGCTCAACCGTCTCTGTCGGACCTGAAATAACTGTCGCTCGCTCCTTGGAACCAGCCCGACCAACAAGTGAAATTACTACCCACGTGAGTGTTTTGCCAAACGTGACTTCCTAACAAGCTGCAGAAATAACCAGATTCATGCACAAAGGAAACTATAGCGAGGAACAATTTGCAAGCCCCAGAAGTCGGAGAATGCACTTTTTGAAAAACTATCCTGGCTTAGTATTTTAAAGTACTTTCTCTATTTTTGTGTGCTTACTGATCATGACTCTTTCACTTTTTCGTTCTTTTCTCCGGCTTTTAATAACTATTTATGATGTGTATGACACACCTGTTATTCAAGGTACCGTACTCTGGTTTACACAGGTCATGTACGCAAATATAATATTGCTCTTAAGGAATGTATCGTAATATACTATAAGTCAGTCAGTCAGTCCGTGGGTCTTTACTCAGTCAGTCAGTCAGTCAGTCAATTAATTAGTTAGTTGGTTAGTATAGAAGAAAGATAGAAAGAAAGAAAGAGAGAGAGAAAGAGAGAAAGAAAGAAAGTAATAAACAGATTCAGCCAAACGTATGAACAGATTTCATTAAAACAACAGCACACAAACAAACAAACCCGAGGAATCTATCTAAACACAATATAAATATAATTGCCTCTGAGTATCAAATAGCAAATCAGGTCTCAAGGAAGGATGGCCGAATGAAAGGTGATAGGGCCATTTATACGAGAAAAATAAGCCGCGGCCTATGGTTCACGGCTTATTCGTGCCTTGCTTTTGTGTCGGTTGTTATAGCAATCGCGGAATTGCGCGAGCTGTCGCGCGAGCTCGGGAAAAGTTTGCCTTTCTCTAGCCCTGGCCTACTCTCTTTCGCGATCTTCTTGGCTACTTCTCGCCTGTTAATTCTTGCTCTCTGCCGTTTTCTTTTACGTTCTGCTTCATTTAAAAAAATGCATCCAAGCATTTCACCAAACCAAATAAAATGAACAAACAAAACAAGGAAATCCCCATACTTCGTTAACACAATATGCAATTCACCACGTTCGCCGGCTTCAAATATTCTCTTAGCAAATCCTGTTCGTTTTCAAAGTTAAATGGTTTCTGGACTTTTGTTGGTTTGCAACAGGTGTAGCAGTCTACGAAGCGGTTGTCGCTACTAACACAAAGAAAACTTCACTTCAGTATGAATATTCCAGGCAGAAACTTCCAGCAAAAGTTGTGAAAACTGAACTGAATTAGTTTGCCGCCATTCTTATATTTTTGCCTTCGCTCTCTATTCCTAACAATGTTCGCTTTGCGTCGCTCCTCGCTTACATTTCGCTCCCTTTCTCTAACCCTCGCTCGCTCTGCTTCACGGCATCACTCAGTATTATTTCGTTTCCTTTATCTAGCCCTCACTCTCTCTACTTCATGGAATTGTTTAGTACTGTTTCACCTCCTTTCACATTCTCGTCCCCAGAGGCCGCGCTCCTTTTGGTCAGCACCAAGAATCGCGACCTCTGGCCGCTTCCAACACCGGAAGTGCGCGAAAGAAATCAGGTAAGTTCGTGGTTCAGAACAAAGAAATATTAGACCTTGCTGAGAAACTGGGAATCGTTGAAGCTATTCCCAGAAAGACAAGCATACAGAGGAATCGCTCAAACATTCCCAGTTCTAGTCAAATTGATCATTACAAAAAATCTGTGGCTATTCCCCTTCTTGATTCCCTGATTAGTCAAATGCAAGACCGATTTTCTGACGAGGATCGCCACGCCCATCACTTGCTATATCTAGTACCCTCAATCATAGTTAAAAACACCCTGGAGCTATCTGAAGCAACAGAAGGCATGCTGTTCTGGGAGAATGACCTTCCATTTCCCAAATCC